GGCCAAGTTCCGGTAACTGTTAAAAGAGAGATTGAACTAATTAGGTGTTATCAAGCTGAAGTCAAAGTGACTGAAGGAGTTGATGATGGTGAAATGGAACTAGGTATAGATATTAAATCAGAGTATGAAGCCACAGGATACATTCCAGCAAAGTTGATGTTTGGTCGGGAACTTCGGTTGCCAGTGGATCTGTTAACAGGGCACCCACCTTATGAAGAATTACCTAAGAATGTGTCAGAGTTTGTAAAAATGTTATCAGAAAAGATGGATGATATTCACTATCATGTGCATTCAAACTTGAAAACGTCTGCTGATTCGATGAAGTTATCTTATGATAAGAGATCTACTGAAGTCAGCTTTGTACCAGGAGACAAGGTGTGTTGTATAATCCCAGGAAGACCAAAGGGAAGTCCCCTAAGTTGTCTTCTCTATATGACATAGTGGATCGCTGGAAAGAAATTATACGGAAAATTAACTAATGATCAGGGGTGTAACAATATATATAAATACAGCATTCTTTATATAGTGCCTTAGTCTTATGATAAGCATAATTAATTATAATAATGTTTATACTGCTTGGAAAAGGCGTTCACACCATAATATTTATCATTTTAGCATATAGCTTATAGAAATAGTGTTCCAATCCCAATTGTGTTTATTATATTCCAGCCCTCTTCATGAACTCTGGATTGAGCGAAATGTGTTATCGCCAATGGAAATGGTGAACATGGTGTGGATAAAAGATGATTATTCTATATCATTCTAATTCTTGAAAATCCCTTAGGGGCCAGATAAAGAATGTTGTGTTAAAAATATTGTTACGTCTCTGTTCGTTTGTTAATTTTCCGTAAAAATTATTATTGAAGAAACTTTAGGATACAAGTCTTTTTTCAATAAAACTAGTTTATTCTTTCTCAATACAACTTTGCAATACACTTAATTTACACAGTCACACTATAACAAATGCTATAATTCACTACGAACGACTCACCTGCTCGACTCAATCGTCAATCTCTATCTCTGTCTGCAGTTCAATTACATTGTTGCCGTCACTTCTTGGCGGTCTTATATACAAGAATGCCGTACATCTAGTAAACACTCGAGGCTTCACGAAGGGGCATGATTTTTCTAGAAGCTCATGACGTGTTACTAGCATCACGTGACTTCCGCTGTCGTAACAATATTGTCTTTAGTAGGTAACAACAGAATAAGGGATACAGAATACTGATACATAGACTGTATTGTAAAAAAGTTAGGCCACAAATGTTATTACACGAATTACACCAAGCAGAGACGTGTTTTACAGTGAAAAGGGTAATTCAATGGTATTTGAAAATTTATTACTTTAGTATTAAGCCTATTATATTGTTACGACAGCGGAAGTCATGTGACGTTAGTAACACGTCATGATATTCTCGATGGTTCGTGAATGCTCGAGTGTTTACTAGATGTGCGGTATTCTTGTATATAAGTGCGCCAAACGATGGAATTGAATTGCAGACAGAGATAGAGACGGGCAATTGAGTCGAGCGCGGTAGTGCGTGAATCGTTCGTTGTGAATTATAGCGTTTGTTGCTGAAGCTTAAAAAAATTATACTAATTGTGAGTTAATTAAACATTATGTTATTTTTTCAAAAATTGTGGTGTTTTCAGGTAAAATTGATTTCCGTACAGGTATTGAATTGGTCTGCTTAATTAATTAATAACATCAGGATCAAACAGGAAATTCTGGATTTAATGTGAATCTGAAAACTTGAGTGAGCTTTAAACTTGTGTGAAAATAAAAGAAATGGACGAATTTGAGAAAATAAACAATCTTTATTTGGTAAAACAAAAAAGAAAGTATAATGTGCATACTTGTGTAAACAAGGGGACACTTGCTTCTCCAGGATTATTGATTATATTGTTAATTTTCGGTCTCTCAAGATTAATCTTTAATAAACTAGCCCTGATCAGAAAACAAACATCTGCTTCAATTTTGGAAGAGAGCTCATATTTATTCTCTTGTGAGGGTGTCACTATTTGAAAATTTTTCTCTCATAGCATTCACTGGCTGTAACATACAGATGTTATCTACTCGGGCAACAAATGATGTTGCAGTCTCTTGACTCATAACATGCAAGAAAAATTTACCACAATATCCCCTTTGATAGAAGAGATACTATCTGCTGTAGAGAACAAAGAAACAAAGCAACCTAAAAAGGCAATTTCAACAGTTTTCTAGAACTTGTGTTTATGCTAAAAACAGCATAGAAACTAAATAAACGTAAACATTTAAAAAATTCTGTATTACTAAAAGCAGGTAAAAACATATGATATGCTCTGTTTCAAGCTTGACCTCAAGCCAACATTTAAAACCAACTTTTAAGGTAACGCTATGGCCAAGAAGCATGTTATATTTTCTTTGTTTCTAAAAATACATACATGCCACATGGGAGACAAAACACTTTAACAAAGAATTACACTATTTATAAGAAAATAACCCTTCAACTAAGGTTTAAATTACATGAGGTTTCAGTAGTAATAAAAGAAACCCCTTTTTACTATATTACACATCAAGGAAGA